TGTGAGTGGTTCACACCTGAGGGTGCACAACAGCAAATAAATCCCCATAGACAGCAGCGATAAATCCCTATACTACTCACAACTCTCACAGGTGTTCGGGCTACACAGAAAAACGATGTTGGACATGTCCTCTTTCGTTTTCCTTTCAATTTTTAGTGGGTTGACCGATGAATTTTGGAGAAATTCTCACCAAAGCAGGCCACCCCTAAATGAAGGGAATTTGACGGCCAGGAAAAGTAGCCATTTTGAAAATGCATCCCTCCGGCAAACGGATAAATAGAGCCACTTTCGGACCCGATTGCATCCAAATTGCTCAGAATTGGAAGCCCCGAGTCTGGCCCAGAGGTTCGGTGCCATATTTCTTCAATTCCTCACTTCCATGGCTCTCAGAACCCTCTAATATTTTGGGTGTATAACTTTTATTAATGAGCTCGGCGGACATTATTTCTGGCCTATGTACCACGGTTCACCCTCAACAGAGCTGTAGACGATCCGATCTCGTTAACTAAACTGCGCATGCACTGGGCATGGCATGTCTGGTAACCCGCGTTCACAAGCAGTGATATTCAGAGAAAGCTTTGACTTGTCCGAGTTTACACTTTGTGAAAACAAGTCAGTGGCCGTAAAAAGGAGTCAATGGCCCCATAAGCACGAGCATTACTAACTCGAATGGTATACCACATAGTCTTCCTTAATAATAAATCTTGGTAATTTTTTTTTAATATAATGTGCCATTTTCCCTATTAATGATCAAAGATGCCTCAGGGAATCGACAAGAAAATGTAGAAATTAAAGGATTAAAAACAGATTGAAATAAAGTAATGACGACTGTATGGATTTTGTAAAATCTAACGCATTTACAGCCAGAGGGTTTGATGTGTAAAATGGGTTTTGGATTGTACTATACTCGAGATAGCGGTCGCTGGTAAAGCCTAGCCATTGAGTGCTGTTAAGAAGAGGACGAACTTGGGCACCAGTCCATGTTCTGGAACCAGCAGGTTAAGTGCTAAAAATATGACAGAGCACTAGTCAACATCATAACAACAAACCCCCTGTGACTTTTTTAGCTGTTAACCTGTTTTCCTAAGCTAATAATTTTTTGTACCTATGAGATTTCAGAACTTTGCAGCTATACATGAAATTGATCCCAGAGTGAGGTTTTGAGCGTTACTTTCCCCTTGTTCTCTCCCTAGGTCACCGCCATGATCATGGCTTGCTGTCTGATAAGCGGAATGAAGAAAGACAGCTACAAGTCTTACACCTAGCTCGGTGTACAAACAAAACATCAGTGCCTTTTCCTTGAGTAGGTTTGTTCCGATTTTTCGCCGTTGTTTGCTTTGTTCTTCATTTTAGATCTGCAGTGTTACATGTCTTTTCCTTCCCCCCTTCTTGCTGTAAAAACTCGCTGTCTTAGACAGACTGACCAGACCAAAAATGCTACGGTCCTCGCGTGTCATTTTTATGTGGCATCAGGCCACATAAGTAACGAAAGCAACGATGCCCTCTGTAGATTATTCAAATAATGTTGGTCACAGTATAGACATATCATTTCATGATTTTATTCCCGTTTTTGCGTCTGAAATCTTGTATAGATGTTTAAGATAAATATTTTGATCGTTTGACGTAGTTTACTTCCTTTATTTTGAACAACTTTTAGTAATTTGGCAGTAAATTGGCATATTCAATCGCTATTAATTAGTTCTCATGTATAGGTTAGAAATATATACCATCATTATGAGTAATGAAGTTCACATACATACATACCAGATCACAGGGCAAGTTCGGGTATTGACTATATTCAAAGTTGTCAGTGTATTAATACCAGTGCGCACGCGGGAAACATTTCCATCCGAATGGCCTATTCCATCCTGGGATATTCCATTGTCACATTTTGCAGTGGGTGGTATCTCTCGCTGCGTTCATGCATGGTCTGTCACATTTCGTTCATATTTTTTTTTTCATGTGAGTTGTTCCCTCCACAAATGGCTCCTGACCACCAGCGATGCGGCCGTGCCCCTTGGGCTACAGCTGGTCCCAAATGTTTGTCGACTAAGTGTGGTCCAACTTTTGCAGTTAGCAAAATAGTCGTTGCTCGAACATGTCATTCAAGAGCTGATTTTGGGCAAGATTGATACTAAACAAACCTGTCAAATGAGGTCAAATGAAACCTTGTCAGGCAGATCCAAGCCAATGAACTATACACACGAAGTAAAATGATCGATGTGGGTGAAAGAGTTATAGAAATTATAGAACGTCTACAGCCATTTATGCATGTTTGGGCTGTCTTTGACTACGACGAACTAAAAACCCGAAACCAAGGTGGTCCCTGACTCCATGCAGTCATCCCCGCGTTATGTGATTTTTACTCAATCCTCGGAATTGTACATTACTTGAGAACTTTTCTTTCTTTTTTTTTTTTACAAATAGTAAAGGATAGGCCTACAGTAGCTAATTTTTCAAAGTATCGTGTTTAGAAATTCGCTCTTCATTACTTAGCATACTCAAAGTTTACAACTCTCGACATTAAATGTTGCAAATATAACTTGTCACGTAGGTAGCGAATTGTTTTAAGTACAACTTAAATTATAGGCAGCGATTTAGTTGTCTTCAAAAATAAGGTGTTGCCAAACAAACAATAAATGGCGTTTGTTGGATCTTATACAACAGATTGTGTAGACTGCAGAGCTGTCCCATATACTTTGCGTGTTGAGCAAGCTTAAGGACAGGTTGACAATAACACATAACGATCCAGTGCCGAAAAGTATGCCGTGATTAAAATCTGAGTTGTCTAGGATCCATGTGATTTCCACCATACTGTGTGTGATTCACGGAGATAGAGATTCTTCATACATCAAAAATCGATTGCTGTTTCGGATCTTTTGATTTGAAACAACCAAAGCAAGTTATATACATCTTCTTTTCGAAATGATGGGATGTTTAGACAATTACGAAGGTTAACTACTTTCTAGGCAAAAGAGTACAAAACTAACTCTCAAAAAAGTTTAAAAGCACCCAAGAATAGTAAAAATTTACTGTAAAAGATTGACAATCACTCCAAAAGAGGAGCCGTTATAAACCTCTTCTCGAATTGTCATTTACAATGTATGTGTCTCCTCGAGGGAATGGAAAGTTCACCCTTTTGGAGTGGTTCTCAGGGATTTGGGGGGGGCGTTTTATTCTTTTGGAGTGGTTTTATAAAGGACTCATTTTTTTGACAATGAGTTTTTCACCCTTGTACATTTTGAACAGTACGTTAACTTTGGCATTGGCTTCCGAATGTTGACGATAGATATTTCTCTTTATTGAGTTCGCGACAAAGAGTCTTACTTAAAATCGAATGTTTGTCAATAGCATGGTCGATTGACGGTATGCACATCGTTCGCCCCGAGAAGCCCTTTTCGAAATGTGCAAATGACGTGCGTCCTAAAGCAATATTCGCGCCCTCACACCCTTGAACCGTGCACGAGTATACCTGTGATATCGCAGGTCCACTTTCTTTCCATAGCCTTTATTTACGCGAATACAATTCGAGGGTTGTCTACCACAAGCAGTTAAAATCTTTCTGATAAAAAGAGAACTTACTATACAGCTTATTGACAATCTGCATTCCACGCGAAAGTGCCAAGCACGTTCAAATTTAAACCGTTCAAACAAGCACTCTCCAGTAAGGGACTCTGCCAAGTGACACCGTTTTGTTTCGAAGACAAAAATAGTGCCCTCAAGATTGAGTGGTGGATACTGGCGAATGCACCAGATTATATTAATGACGATTGACGCCTGCTTGGTATTATTTCGATATAGCGCCCTCTTGCAGTTTTAAAACTTGCCAGCCACAAAAATGTTGATCATTTCCAAATCTGCATTCGACGTAGTCATGGTGACCAGAACCTTGAAGTCACAAAGTCCACGGTTGACTCATTATCTTGCATATTTTGATAATATTTAATGTGTTTGATGTAGGGCAAAGCGCTCACTACAGTGCCCCGTACACTATATGTAATGGCAAACTGTGTGCCACGCAAAGAAAACTGCAGCCGGAAATCAATGGATATTTTTTCGTAAAATATTACCGACCCAGTTTATTCTCTCCTCCCCTCGAGTGTCTTTTAAAACCCGGAGAACATTTTCAATGTTCAAATTGACTCTTCAAAAAATGTTAAAAATTTAGGTCGACTCTTGAAATTATAATTTTTTAGTTTACTCTGGTCATGTCCAAAACACTTGAAAACAGCTGAGTAAAGTTTAGTTTAGCAGCTCACGCGGGAAACAGTGAGTTCTCAGATCTAAAGGCCTTTATGTCGCGTGTGCGCTGCAAACAAATGTCTTTAGTAACTGTTACGATGCAGCTGTAGTGTGTTTAGCAATGTCGCAGAATCGGAGATGACTCAGATCAGACATGCTCAGTTTTTATAACTAACGTCTTTAGCCAAAGTAATCTCGGCTCCCACGAAATGAAATCACCGTGAGTAACAAGTGTAAAAGATGACGGAAACTTGAGCGTACAAATAGCCTCCAATTTCGGGTCTTGCGTATGAGTTCCAGTGACTGCCTCCCCCCCCCATTATCAATGATGATATTTAAGTCATCCAATTTCAGAAATTTCCACCAGTTTGAATCCATTTGTTCGGTGACTGTGACAGGCCTTCCATGTGACAATTACGACGATCCGCGCCGGGTGCAACATTTGACTTGGCACACGACGGGCCCATTACAAGTCTGGTTACCACACAGGGGTCAAGAAGTTTATATTTAATCGTTAGTAACGCTCGATTAGGCCCTACAGATAACAAAAATTCAGCGACTTTGACCTCTTGAGAAAACAAGTACACAATGAAACACAGTTGATGGCTGAACATGCTTAAGTTGATTTTAGGAGCCTCTGGCTTAAACTGGTTGCTCATAAGACTGTTTCTCGAATGAGGATTCCTAATTTCATTCCCCTCTTTTCGTTGAGTTGACCCCCGACATAAGGATCCTAGTATCGTCTGAATACAAGAAGGTCAGGATGAACAAGAAGAAGTTTCGATCAGTACGCTGAGATTTTTCTACATTGTCATTAGATATAGACCACAATGTTGAACGAAGCGTTAACGTTTTGAGCCCTTCTGAGAACCGCTGTCGATCCCTGCTTTGCGCAACCGCAGACCCAGTGGTCCATCTTATCTCACCACGCTTCGAAAAGTCCCACTGGTTTGGGGAAATGGCTTCATTCCTGGGGCTATAGAGGCTGAATAGTTGTGGTTTGTTAATGGGGTCAGGTCTGCAATGGTATCTTGGCAAATTATGAGTTCCCTCCGGTATCTCAAAAGTAGTATTCAAAAGCAGGTTAATTTGGAAAAACATAAATTAATTTGAAAAAAAAAGTAAGTTGGTCTTGGCCTCAAGACGCCAGTGGCTGACAAAGGATCGTACAGAGTGCGCCCTCGACGTACTCAATAGTTAGACCAGCGCCCTTGCTCGCCAAACGTCTTGGGAACCTGATGGGAGTGTTTAACTTTTTCCTTTTCATTTTCTTCCTGTTCTTTCAAAGTGAACCAATCAACGATCCTGAAATGGTTTGTTTGTCAGTCAAGCTACTATCAAATGCCTTTTTTTTTTAAGATATCAATATTTTTCACTAACGGTGTGCTTTCCACAAAACAGCTACGCCCTGGTTGAAGCAAGATTCCTAAGACGTTGGTGCAAGCATGGCGGGTGCTAGAAAAGAAAAAACTGTCATTCAAAAAATGCAACAACTGCTAGTGATCATTTACGTCTTGCGCCAAGACTAACTCTAAACACATCAAGCTAAAAATACACACTTCGCTGAAGCAAAGTTCAAGCAGAGTGCGAATTCTTCTGTGATGCGTTTGAGGTCACTCAGTGGTATTTTTTTGTGATCTACAGTCTGGGAAAACAGCTCAGACAAAGCACAGGAAAAGGATTGACAAATAAAATTCCTTCGAACTCTGATAACTTTGGCATATACATCCACTAATAATATGTATCTTTTATTTTATTAATATGATCAGGAAGTGATTTCGATGCTCTTGCAGGATGCCCTTGAAATTCCCCTGCCGTTAAACTTTTCGACATTCGCATGGATAACAAACAACAGATGTTTAATTGATAAATTATGCACAGCCCTATATGAAAACGTGTGCATGTACTTACAAACTAATGTGTTTCTACTGTTCTACACATACAATGTACTCTTATTCGTGTTGCATTGTACATTCAAGTTTTTTGGAGAAATGATTCACAAAAATCGAATTTGAAAGCTTAGCAGATGAAAATTGGAGAATTCCTTCTATTAGCACCGTCATTGTGAATATCAATGAGCTAGGATATGAGGCTGATTCATCCCAGACTGACCAATCAAATTTCAGCGGCTGCTTTCTACTTTGACTGAAAAAAAAATGTTTCTTGTGTAAAATGTACACCTCTTTGACCTGATGAAGAGGTAATGATGCTAGTTGGAAGAAATCTTTTTTTTAACTTTATGTTTTACTAGTTCTCTCCCCGAAAGGTTTATGCCTAAAATGCCTGGCTTAATAGTTATCCTATCCCACGACACAATGGGGATAGAGATTTATATGAGCCACTTGTGCTCTCAAAAAGACCAAAACAACATGTGTATAACAGGCTGACCACAACCACAAGCACATCCGCTAATTGTGAGGTAGATCCGGTACTTCGTGATCAAGCATGAATATGTCAAAAATTAGCCCGACAGTTTCAAACGTGGAACCCCCCCCTTGCAAACAAAAAACCACCAACGAAGAATTCTATTTTACCCTCCACTTCGGTGCGCGAACCACCCAGTGCCTGTCACGTCATTGCGTGGGAGTTAATGGTTAGTGTTGCGCCTCAATGACTCCAACGCCAAGTTGAAAAGGCAAAGGTTACGCCCACCGAGTGACATCACAGGCTGGCAACCAAGATAACGATCGGTAGATAAAATACCCAGAACTGTTGCGGGAAATAATTGTTTAGGAGAATGGTGTGGTCTACGAGGATCGAATCAAATCGAGACCAGCATTACACCATTACTGCGGCGTCAGACACCTCGCCTTTTTAAAGCATGGCGAACACAATAGGAGGGCGCTATTTAAAGTGGGTAAACACAAACAGCGCCCTCCTACGGTCCGCCTTACCTCCAATAGGCTAATAGCATGTATTCGTACAGTCGTTGAAAGTCTCCTGTACACTCCTGAACCGGTTCATGCGTAATATGGTAATTGTGGAAATGGGAGAAGCAACCCCTCATCGGTAGAAAGCAACAAACGTTGGTCGGGAACGCTCACTGTATTGGTAGCAATGCGACCGTAACGTGTGCATTTAATAGTCGTTTGTGAACCGGCGAAGTGTAGTTCCTACCAATGGGGCGAGTTCGGGCGGCCTGTTCTTGACGCTGGTTTCTTGTTCTCGCGCTCGAATGGCGGGAACACGACTTAAGAACAATGTTCCCGGAAAAGGATCAGACACCACCTCCTCGTCAGGGTTTACAGGAACACACGGAAAAACTCGTGAGATTTTGATTTTTGAAGAGCCGCAAAAAATAGCGAGATGGCTCACAAAGCTGGAGATAATGGGAAGTTTTACAAAATTAAGAATAATCATTTTCCATAGCAAGAAATGAATGTTCCTTTTTAAACAGAAAATAATTCAGCTCAGCTTTCCTCTGTTTACTCTGAAAGAACGTACATGGATGCCGCCATGTTGCATGCAACAACCATTTCATTGATAACTGGCTGTACGTTCTCGGCGTTCGAGTGGCCGACTTACTAACAAAAAATCCAGATGTTCGTGAACATGCAAGAAAAAGCCGCCCGCACAAGCCAATGAGCCTACGTTGGTAGGAAAATTCTGCCCTCTCGGTCCCTCTCTGGGGCTCATAAACCTACCTATTTTGGGACAAATATCCCGGGAAAGATGTGCCCTAGTTTCATAGCGGTAAGACACCAGCACAAGAAGGATTTTTTTAAACACGAAGAGAATGGCGAATGTTGGTCTATTTCATTCTGCGTCCTTCAAAAAAGTCCCGCAATGTAGCCTTACCGCTTGAACAAAGACAATTTAAAGGTTGCACGAAAAATGAATTCCAAAATTTTGCCCCCCCCTAAAAAATACAACTTTGCCCCGCCCCCAAAAATTCGATTCTGGATCTGTTCATGGGTACTATGAATAATCATCATTCAGTCGCTTACACCCAACCATCCAACCTAATTCATTCCTTGTCGATTTCATCATTTCATATAGTCTACAACCAGAAATATGCACATCTTCGGTTTCCTCTCCATGTGAATGAATAAACATGACGTTGTACTATGGTAACCAGAGATGGGACATTTTCAAGAGACAAACAAAGGGCGTTTCGTGAGTCAACGGCAAAGGTTAGATTCGATACAGTTACAGTCCTGGAATGAACATCACGTACCATCCAGCACTGATACAAATTCCAATGTGAATTTATAGATTAGGCACCATATTTGCCAATTTTAGGCCCGTCAAAGCGAATACCAAGATAAGTTTAAAATTAAAATGCAATATTGATACATCTATTGAGGACATTACTTGCGTCCATTTTTTTGCGCTGATCCCTACCACAAAACAATGCCAGGAATCTGTCTGGGTTACAGACACATACACGTATTTCATCTTTAATCATAACGCTGCAAAGCGACCGGCATTCAGTAGGACATGAATGTAAATGTCATGTTGCTATGACACGCATACAGACGCAAG